TAACTTGGCTGTTATAAGCCTATCACAATATGTAAATTCGCAGAGTTGTTTTTGTGGATTGCTATCTCCCAAAGGGAAGGAGGAACGGAGCTGGCCTGTCAGGGTGTGTGGAGATGGAAATCTGGGCCAACCGTGAGGATTCATAACGAAGCACTGCTACTTTACTGAGGCACACTGCAGGGAAGCAAGCACGAAATTCCACCCAGTGTTCCTCAAGGTTTCATTGAAACTGTAGGCGCTCTCGGGCATGACCAGGATGAAGACGTTCTTAGAAGCTGTGTGAATTCATTTGCACACGTGTGTGAGGGGTCTTCTCCCTGTTCTTACCTTAACCTTCTTAGCAGCTGCATTTAACGTAGTTGCTATGCTTTCTACATTGAGGCCCTTTTATCATTTAGCTCCTGATTTTAAGAAAGGTTTATTCATTTATTTATGAGTATATGCTCATGCATGAGTTCATGAGCAACACACAGCTGTGCTGAAGAGTGACTCAATCAGAAGCGGAGGGTGTGGTCACTCTGTGCCTCTTCCCACCCCCAAGCTTCATTTAGTTATTTTAGATCTGTAGTGTTTATAATAAAGCTATAATCAACCATTCAGTACTTTCAATGAATTCTGGGAATTGTTTTAATGAATGCTTTAACCTGGAGAGGTCACAGGGAACCCCTGACTCAATAGCTGGTTAGTAGGAAGTATGGGTGGCCCCATAGACTTAGGGTAGTCATCTGAAGTGTGAATAGTCTTTTGGAAGATGTTATCCTTCACCCAAGGAGCCTGCTCTAACTCTGAGTAGTCAGAATTCAGTTGCAATGCACCCAATTGTGAGGTGAATAGTTTGCAGGGGTACTTAGCAATCTAGGACTGCCACCTGCATCAAGCTCGATATACAAAAAGCAACTGGCTGCTCTGCCCTTGTAGCTCCTGAGCAAATCCCCAACCACACATCTTTTGTGGCTAAACACACCCTGGAACACATCTGAAACTGCAGGCAGTGAGTTGGTCCAGTCTGGACTGCTTTTGAGTACATGCTAGTAAGGCAAACGGTGACTTCTTGCTGAACTTTTAGAGAAAAGCCCCATTTGCCATCTTATGCCTATGCATGATTGGGCGTGCATATGATTAAAATCAGATGCAGCATGAGTAAAGACATGCACAGTGGACAAAGCCTTACATAAAGAAGCCTTACACATCAAAGCAGAAAACCGCCTTGGCCCCTAGCAACCAATCCCTCTTTCTCCTGAACATGCAAGGAAGCTCTGGGAAGTAACCTGGGGCTCTTGAGCACTTACTCAGAGCCTCTGTACTCTTACTTCTGAGTAAAATTCCTTGCTGCTTTGCTACTTGTGTTTGCTTTGTAAATCCTTTGGACAAGATATCAGAATCTGGTCTCCAGAGATGCTCAGTGGTTAAGAGCCTTTCCTGCTCTTCCAAAGTACATGAATTTGGTTCCCAGTTACAACTGCCTATAACTCCAGCTGCAGGAGATCCGATGCCTTCTTCTGGCCTCCACAGGCAATTGCACTGCATGTGCAGAAGCCCACATACACACATATAGGCATACAAGTAATTAAAATTTAAAACAAATCTTAGGCACTATTGCTGAGGACACTACATACATACAAAGAAACAAGGACAAATGATGCTGGTGCTGACTTCCGAGCCTCATCAGTACCGGCTTTCATAGTGCTGGAAGGTGCTGTGCACTCTACTGAAGGGAAAAAATAATTATCAACTTCACACAGCTGTGAATCCTGTGAACTACAACAACTGGCCTGGCAAGATGTGCCCACTCGTAAAATGGTGGCACAAATATTATGCCACTACTCTTTAACTGGATTTAAGGTCCACTTCATAGAAAGAGCCAATACCTGACACTGGTATCAGGCTTAGGAACCTGAGGCTAGTCAGGTCACAGGACATAGGGGAGATTCTAATAGTAGCTTTCTACTAAATAGTTGTATCATATTAAACTGATTCTTAATGGCTCATTTTTATGCCCATATATTAATCATCTCTCAAATCTAACCAGAGACATTTTCCTTAAGCAACACATAGTGATAAGCACAGAAACCCACAACTGGCCAACATGCGGAGAACAAGAGGCTGCAGAGTGCTTACCATCGAATAGGATGCCTATACCAAACTTCTGCCTCTCAAGGCTCAGGGATCATTGTAGAAGGTGGCGGGGACTCAAAGGGTGTAAGAGCCAGAGGGGGTGAATGACTACAAGGGAACAGAGTTTTCCAGGCAGCTGGGGAGTTACACATATAAACTCTCAGCAACAGTGACAGCATTCACAAATCCTATGTCAGCACAAATCTGGAAAAAATCCCAGCATAGACATGAGGAAGTGGGTAAGAAGCTCCAACCCACCTTAGCGAATCGTGGCAACAGATGGCTTATGGAAGGGGCAGAGACAGTCTTTGTCAGGCACGGGACTCTTGGTAAGTTAACCAGGCTCCAGTGGATGGAGCCACAGTGAAAAGCATTTAGGGACATGAATTAAACTCTATAGCCTTAATATATATA